ATGTGGCATTTTGTAACATCACACAGTGATATTTAGGTAGATATAATACTAATCTATGGAATTAAACACAAATCTGGACACATGTGTGAGGTTTAAGGTGTTTTTGAGAGTCCGGGCCAACCGGACTGAACGATGTGATACAGTGTCTTTGGTGAGATTATGTAGAAAAGAGAGCTTCACTTTCAGCAACGTTTTTGCTTCACATACTACGCTTTGAGACTCTGTGAAGTGATATTTAGGTAGATCTAGCACCAATCTATGGATATAAACACATTTCAAAATACATGTGTGAGGTTTAAGCTGTTTCTGACAGCCCGGACCAAGTCGGGCCGAACGGCGACTAAACACTTTTGATTGAGGCTATGTTGTGTTTGGGGAGAGAAAAGGGCTTCACTTTACCGAACCAGTTATCTTTACATGTGGCATTTTGTAACATCACACAGTGATATTTAGGTAGATATAATACTAATCTATGGAATTAAACACAAATCAGGATATATGTGTGAGGTTTAAGGTATGTTTGAGAGCCCGGGGCAAGCCGGACCGAAAGCATGTTATACTATGTGGTTGTTGAGAATGTATAGAAAATAGGGCTTCACTTTAAGCAACGTGTTTGTTTCAAATACTACGCTTTGAGACTCTATAAAGACGTACTTAGGTAGATATAACTCTGTTCTAGAGATATAGACAGACATCAGGATACATGTGTGAGGTTAAAGGTGTTTTTGACAGCACGGGCCAAGTCGGGCTGAACAGCGACTAAACACTTTTGATTGAGGCTATGTTGTGAATGGAGAGAGAAAAGGGCTTCACTTTAACGGAGCAGGTTTCTTTACATGTGGCATTTTGTAACATCACACAGTGATATTTAGGTATATATAATACTAATCTATGGAATGAAACACAAATCAGGACACATGTGTGAGGTTTAAGGTGTTTTTGAGAGTCCGGGCCAACCGGACCGAGCGCTGTGATACAGTGTATTTGGTGAGAATATGTAGAAAAGAGAGTTTCACTTTCAGCAACGTTTTTGCTTCACATACTACGCTTTGAGACTCTGTGAAGTGATATTTAGGTAGATCTAACACTAATCTATGGATATAAACACATTTCAAAATACATGTGTGAGGTTTAAGCTGTTTCTGACAGCCCGGACCAAGTCGGGCCGAACGGCGACTAAACACTTTTGATTGAGGCTATGTTGTGTTTGGGGAGAGAAAAGGGCTTCACTTTACCGAACCAGTTATCTTTACATGTGGCATTTTGTAACATCACACAGTGATATTTAGGTAGATATAATACTAATCTATGGAATTAAACACAAATCAGGATATATGTGTGGGGTTAAGAATGTTTTTGAGAGCCCGAGCGAAGCCGGACCGAAAGCGTGACTGTGATACTGTGTGGTTGTTGAGAATGTATAGAAAATAGGGCTTCACTTTAAGCAACGTGTTTGTTTCAAATACTACGCTTTGAGACTCTGTAAAGACGTACTTAGGTAGATATAACTCTATTCTAGAGATATAGACAGAAATCAGTATACATGTGTGAGGTTGAAGCTGTTTCTGACAGCCCGGACCAAGTCGGGCTGAACAGCGACTTAACACTTTTGATTGAGGCTATGTTGTGTTTGGGGAGAGAAAAGGGCTTAACTTTACCGAACCAGTTATCTTTACATGTGGCATTTTGTAACATCACACATTGATATTTAAGTAGATATAATACTAATCTATGGAATTAAACACAAATCAGGATACATTTGTTTGGTGAAAGATGTTTTTGAGAGCCCGAGACAAGGCTGACCGAACGCTTGTGATACAGTGTCTTTGTTGAGAATATGTAGAAAAGAGAGCTTCACTTTCAGCAACGTTTTTGCTTCAAATACTACGCTTTGAGACTCTGTCAAGTGGTATGTAGGTACATATATTACTAATCTATGGATATAAACACATTTCAAGATACACGTGTGAGGTTTAGGTTGTTTTGACAGCACGGGCCAAGTCGGGCTGAACAGAGACTAAACACTTTTGATTGCGGATTTTGTTTTCCGAGGACTTTTTCCCCCTAAATTGTTGGGAATGGAAAGAGAAAGGGGCTTCACTTTTACTTTACTTGATGAAGTGGTATTTAGGTAGATATAATACCATTTTGTGTTTCATGTGTATTAGTAAATATAAGCATATGCATACGCGCTGGCTATCTGATTTGGACTGGTATTGTTTACAATGAAAACACATAAGAATTTTTGTGTTTGTGAATGCATACTTTGTTTGATCCTTAATAACATATAACAAAATGTTGTGATTTCAAATATTTCTTTTAATTTACATAATCATGACATATTTGCCCATTGACACTCGCCGACATCCACGTCTCTTTAACATAAACATCCTGTGCTCATTCAGCATGAGACAATAAAGGTTAATTAGGGAACCCCAATATCTTAATTAAGGAAAGAAAAGCAGTCAAAACACTGTCACTTCCTGCCCAGGACCCCAGGATGTCACACGCTAAGAGAAGTAAGCAACCTTCCCTCATTGACATATCAAGGAAAACACATAACAACAAGACGGTGTCTTTTCTACAGGAATCTCGGTATGTAGTCATTGTTGTTGTTTGTTTTTTTTCACCATTAACTATATATTTTCAATCAAACTATGCATTTGTGAAGGCAGGAAAAGTATCGACCCAAATGTGCAGGTTTCGTTTTAATATTCTGCAATCCATTTTTAGTATTAGCCGGTGGCCCGGCCCGGCCCGACTTTTCTTGGCCCGACTTTTAGGCCATCCCCCTAGAGGGTCAGTTTATCCAGATAGTGAGGTTGGATAAGTTCCTATTCTATGGTTTATGCCAACACAGTGACACTATGAAAAGTATGGGGTATTTCGATACTTTTTTCCATGTGTATGGTTGCTATATTTCACAATAAACTTCGTGCGTCTGTTGTGATACAGTCCATGTCAGGTTGACCTGTCGTATCTGCTCACTGTACTGATAGTGACGTGTGACTGTTATCTGTCGTACAAACAAGTCATTGTTAAATACACGAGGCTACGTTTCAGTCGACATGTCTTGGGCATACATTATTGGAGTTTGTGTCATAAAATGAATAAGTTTCTATTTCCTCGGTCAGCGTTCATTGGCCACCATCAACGTCCCTGTAAATTGTACAATGTCTCTCTCTAGACAGGGGATCGAACCACCGACCATGTTCTCTCCTTACAGCCGCTCTATCCACTGGGTCCAGTGGCGATGTGCTCGTTGATTGGGTGGACAAGATGGGCGACATGCTTGATGGTCCATCATCATTACCACAGGTACATTGCCCGTATGCGCAGACTTTTCTTCTCAAATATTAACTGACGTCATACTATAATATTATATTATTTACTGACATCACACTACACTACTGTATTATTATAGACAATAATACTTCACCACCATATTAATTATAGACAATAATACTACACACTACGATAACACTGACATCAGTCTGTATATAAAGACAAGTTACTTAGATGAACTCAAGATCTAACATCGCCTACCAGTTACTGTTACGGTACAGGCATACCCTGCACTCACACAGCAAAGATAACATGGCCATTGTTGTCAGGTAATAAACAGCTGCTCCGACTGCTGCAAGCTGTACCAAGCTACAGGTGCAAAAGGTTGAAGATAAATATCAACACGATAACACAGAGAACATCCCCCTGACTTGAAGTATGCAGGTCTTCACTAATCTGTGGGCCTGTAATATTTAGAAGGTACCTACTGTCGTGGAGGTAAGTGAGAAAACTTCAGCACGATACAGTTACATAGTGAAGATCATATACAGTGTTTTTCGGATATACTAAATGACATGGAGGACAAAACAACTCCTGAGTCCTCTGCAATAACATATTCGTAAACCATGGTTGTGTGTATGGTACATGACGGGAGAGAAGTGATATGAGATCACGTGACGCCTACTGTCCGTGAGACCCGAGCGGTTGTGATATAGAAAATGTGACTCAGTGTAACCGGTTTTTTTTGTAAGGAGCAATTACTGTTCCTTTGAAATGATGTAAGCGACGGTCTACTTTCTACTTCCGGTCTTGTTGCCGACACAATATGTGCTAAAAGGATATGGCATTACAAATAGTTTTGTGTTATAATCACCTGATCTTAACGAATGCAAGCTGCAAGTAAGTAAATTGTAGCCATTTGATTTTTACAATACTCTACCGCTTACTGGAGCTGTATGACCTCGGGTGGATTTATTGGACCTACAAACCCCGAGGTTCCATGAATGTGTAGGATTTGGCGACCCTCTAGAGAATGACTGAGACTCCAATGGTTGAGAAAACATCCAAGGATCTGCGACCTTCTAAAAACAGATACTCTCCTAAGGGTCGACAATCTCTTATAGAATCCGGCGCATCATCAACTCATCATGTACTGAAGAAATATTTCTGTTTATACTAACTCTCTTGGATACACCTCCTTTTAAACGACAGAAGAAAGTTATCACATTTACAGCATAAATATAAAAAAAAGCTGGTACAGGGTTGAACCCAAGGAGAAAACTCAATATAGTCCCGATAAAAACACAGCTGTACGAAACTTGCACTTTTCAAAACGTAAAAAGCGTTATTGTGGTCCAAATGCATGTGCATGAATGTGGCATACATGTTGGACAGTGCACGCATACAGTAAAAAATCATCTTGAATATGCCAAGACATACGCAAGCGCGACGAGCAAGGGCGACCGGTATGGCCAATGTTGGGGCTTCACAATGTCAGCTGGCAAGAACCTTTTACTGCAGCCAGGTCACCAACAGCAAACTAATACCAGCAAACAGGCCAGACCCAAGACCGCCCAGGATCGGGAAGGCCAATAATCACAACACCGACAAATAGTACCTCGTAAAAGCGCTTTAAAGTACAACAAACATATTTTTTATGGAATAATTTATTAACATTTGTTAATATGATAAATATGATCTTTTAAATACAATATCATTGAACTTAATAACAGTTAAAACGTTATTTGACCAAGTCAGTGCGCCGGAACATCGTTTATTCACTGCTGACGTGTGTCTAGTGACGGGTGACGGTGTAGTATTGAACATACTTTGACAAAAAAACTGTCAATTTGGGGGAAGGTCAACTGTTAAAAGTTGGGAAATCAAAATGTCAGCTATCCCACGAATAGATGTAGAAATGTTTCTGTCAAGAAACTCAACAAGTTTTGAAGATAAAACAATATTTTTATTTTGTGGAAGGCGTGTTACAGTCACGTCATTGGTCCCAGTGGTGTACAGCAGTTCAAAGAAGGGTAAATCTAATAGGAATCCGAGTCAATGGGAAGAATATGTCTCTTTGGAGCAGATGGTCGACTGACAGAAGAGTCATTGGAGATGTTGAAGTGGAATACGCCACAACAAAATGGACCTGGAAATAGTACAGAATGAAGATTTACGGCATGCGACAAAGACTGTGACGTCATGGTGGCAGTCTGAGTCAGAAGATGAGTGGTTAGAGTGGTGGAGTTACAAGGGTTTGACAACAATTTATTAATGAACAATTAGTAACAGATTATTGATTGAACATTTTTGTGTCCGGAAATTTACAAAATTTGATGTGATGGTACACCAGGTGACTGCACAGGACGTTGGAGAGGGTCTGGGGTTAGCCCAATGGCGGCCATGTTTGTTTACAAACAATGCAAGCGATTATTTTTTTTCTTTTGTAATGTTATTTATTTTAAAAAGACTACTATTTACAACGCAAGTTAAATGCAAAATAATGCCTAATAAAAAGAGTATTCCTTCGTCTTTATGTTTTCTTTTTTAAATCTCGGAAATGTATGAGTACAGCACGTTCTATTTATCAATGAAACGGTAAAAGTTGTCAATGAACTTGGACCATGAAAAGTAGAATGAAGATTTTTGAATGATAATCCAAGTTTTTATTGATATACAATTTCTTGTATTCTGTGAAGGAGACGTTTCGACAAGCAAGTGATAACGACATTAGAATCTATGTCGAAACATCGCCTTCACAGAATAAAATAAGTTGTATATCCATAAAAATTGTCATCATTCTTCATCAGCTCAACTTCTAAAATGCCCACCAAAGAAGTCATGAAAAGTTGTTCCATCAACCAATCATATTTCTTCTCTGCTTAGCCGACCAATCAACTTTGAGAATCATGTGCGGTTATCACAAAAATAATCACCTGTTTACCCTTGCCCGTATGGGTAATAAAGCATGTTATTTTCGATTGTTGAAAAAGATCAATGAAAAATTGGCTATTTCTACTTCTATTCTATTTGAACTAATCACTTGTAAGAAGTTATGGTTATATGACCTCTTCTTTGAGTGGCATTACGAAGCTGGTATCCATAAAAATCTATCCATAAAAATTCGTTCCTGTTCGATTCTATGATGGCCATCTGCGCGCTTTGTGTAATCTAAAAAGATTGATACTACACATGCTAAAATAGGTTCATTTAAAGACGAGTCACAAACACTGTGTAACATGACATTTAATACAGAACCTTATTCTTAGATATCTCCCAACTGATATCACCTGCCACACACCCTCACCTTGGTATCCCCACACGTCTACGGCAACACATCCCCATCGCAACCAGCCTGTCACACACCCTCACCTTGGCATCCCCACACGTCTACGGCAACAGATCCCCACCGCCACCAGACTGCCACACACCCTCACCTTGGCATCCCCACACGTCTACGGCAACACATCCCCACCGCCACCAGACTGCCACACACCCTCACCTTGACATCCCCACACGTTTACGGCAACACATCCCCATCGCCACCAGACTGCCACAAACCCTCACCTTGGCATCCCCATACGTCTACGGCAACACATCCCCACCGCCACAAGACTGCCACACACCCTCACCTTGGCATCCCCACACGTTTACGGCAACACATCCCCACCGCCACACACCTCACCTTGGCATCCCCACACGTTTACGGCAACACACCGCCACCGCCACCAGACTGCCAACCACCACAAACAGTATCGTCGTAGACAGAGTGGCTACTTGAACACCAAAGACGACCCCTGTAAATACAAAGAAAATAGAGTATTATATGATCATGCAACTGAAGTGATTACAGTTAGACCACTGGTTAACAGTGATGCAATGCTAAAGTTACCTTGGTTACAGTGTTCCAGTCTCAGACATTCCTCCAAGGAACAGTTGGATGTGCAGGTTGAGTCACATATTCGTCCAGTCAGGTGGCAACCTTTGGAGCAGGCGCCAGTCTTCTGATCACAGACAAAAACCAAGACAGACGTTACACGTGAGATGACAGCGTCCTCCATAGAAGCCACGTGCACATCCATCTGTACACGACCCGCCGTATAACTGACACTTGGAGTTTCTACAGTTAGAACTACACGGAGAAGATCACTGTCGGCCATACCATCCCTTGTCACACCCGTGGATACACTCCCCACTGTCTCTGTGACAGTCACGTACTCCAGTGTGTGGCGCCAGTAGAGGTTTGTCAGTAGAAAGGTTGGTGTCTGGTCCACACTTTTCACTGCACGTCTTGTCACAGAACACCCCCTGTGCATCCATGTTCACAGGATCCCAGGCCGTGATCACAGGTATACCCATAGTTTGGACCAAAGTAGCCAGGGTGACACTGTCACACACTCCAGTGATCCTGTCGCAGGACTTACATCGACTCGATCACGCCTTACAGTCAGTCCCGTAGTAGGAGTCCAGCTGACAATCACAACCACCTGGACATGCTGTACAGCTACCTCCTGGACTGACACATGGTGTGTTGCACCGAGGGCCTTGATATCCTGGCACACAACCATCAGTACAATCACCTGTGCAAGAGACTGACAACCGACAAGAGTGGTTTCTGCAGGTCTTTCTGCACACTGAACTGCACATCTGATCCAAATACCCGGTGTCACAGTCTGTGAGGCAATATCCAGTTCTGTCAGTTGGACAATGGTTTCTTGTATTTAGCAATGAAGCTCATGCAGTTTATAGTGCCTTATCTGTTGATAAGAGTTCTGGCAATCGGGTTGGTAAGACTGCAGTTTTAAGGCTCATGAAGTGGTCGCTGAAGCTGATAGGTGATGGTTTGACAGGGATGAAGGCAGGACAACTTAGGAATAGTCAGCAGCCCTGGCTTGACCACAGATCGGGCATCAAGAATAGAAATTTAAAGTGATACCCCAACGTCTTGTTCAACGTCTGATACAGTCAGTGGGGAGGAGAGCCGAGGTTGTTATTGCAGTTGGTGGGAGCCAAATATTGACATTGTGTTCGGTTTGTCTATACGTCAGTGATTTCTTGAGGATTGTATGCCATAATTTTGAAAATTACCGCACTTGTTCACAACATACGTCCATAGTCCAAATAAGCGATGGACGCTCTCACAGTGATTATAAAGTGAATGTCATGTGGGAAGAAATGACCGCATACATAGTCACCCCAGCAAACACACTGTTCTATACACGTGGAACAGTGGCAACAAGTTCATTACAAATACTGTAGAAGCTACTCTCGGGGAAATCCTGACTCATTCATCACGTGCCTGTGACTAGGTGCCTGTCTATTGTTACTGTCCGCCTCACTATCTGCCATTGACTTTGTAACGTTGTTAAGTTGTACCAGTCAGCAGCAACCACTGTTTCTGTACTTCTGTCCCCCTCAACTATGAAAAGAAGTGTAAGTAGTTTCACAACTTTTTGTACTGTGTATTTCCATGCAATGAACTCTTGTTTACATTTTGATTGATGCTATCTCCTGGTCGAAAAATCTAATATGCCGTCCCGATGGTTATTAAACTTTCTAAGCTTCTGCGGTTTCAATCCTATCAAAATGTTCGTTTATCGATCTTTGAAAGTGCAAAATGTTTATGAACTATTTCACATCATTTCATTTTTGTAGATTACCCCAAATGAGTTAACGTTAACCAATTCTTAAAACCCTGGTTGTACGGAGTAATATCAATTGTTGACGTGAGAGCACGTGCACGCTTCAATTTCTTGTTACACCAGCGTCGGTGTCGGTGTCAGTGTTTGTGCTATGTGTGGTTTTTTTAGCGGAGCAGCCAGTATAATTGGATTAGTAATATACGGACCAACTATTAAAAGAAATGTAAGTGGTTTTACAACTTCTTGTACCATGTATGTCTCATAGTTTGTGCATAGCGAGCAACAATCATACCAGCACTCAAGAATGCAGATACATATATTGATATCAAATAATATATAGCGAATTATGAATATCACTGATATGATTGAAAGAGGTATGTAACATCAATGTAAACTTATCACTACCACACAAATCTATGTTTTTATATTTCGCGAGCCGGTATACATGTACGAGATCTACTCTCCAGTGTCTAACATATATGCCCGCCACAGGGCGAGACACATGCTTTCCGTGCAAGTATAAAGTTAACACGTTGGTGCTTGAGTGCGTTAGTCCTTGGTCCAGGTCAGCTAGTGCAGAAGTTACAAATAGCAATATGCATATTATTTTCTTTTTTGTGTTGTAACAGTATATTTCAAAGAATATCCCTACACAGGGGCCTTAATACCCAGTCTGTATATAAAACTAATCGTTGACGGCATCACTGGTTTCAGTAATGATGGCATCTGGACTTTTATGATAACTCTCTTTTATGTTAGTTCTAATTATCCACGGGTAACCAGGGCCTTTCTTCAGTGGTTAAAGTACATGGCAACCTTGGATATGTCTTTGTTTTTACTCTTTTATCTTCCTTGTTATTTGAAAATTGAAAATTCTCTCAATTCTCTCAGTGGGTACAATGTCTTTCTATATTTTCTACTCGATTGTTTCAGATCATATAACTTATGGCTATAGATAACAAAATTAAGGTGGTATCGGCCAATTGCAGAGTGTTAGCAGAGAAGCGAAAACGTAAAGAAGTCTTGAGATTATATAGAGAAAAACAATTTTCTATGGTTTGCCTGCAAGATATTCATATTTCTTAAGATGACGAGAATAAGATGAGAAACGAATGGGGACTAGAATGCGTTATTGCTCCATTTAAATCAACCTCCAGAGGGGTCGCTATCCTATTTAGTAATAGTTTTGAACATACAATACACAAGGTTTGTAAAGACGAAAATGGAAATTTTGTTATATTAGACACCACTACTGACGGCATAAGGATGACTTAAACAAATGTATACGGGCCCAATTCCGATATCCCTCTGTTTTCTACATCTTTATTTAAGAAAATAGTAGACATGGGCAATGATTCTATCGCAATATGCGGCGACTAGAATCTTATACTTGATCCATCAATAGATCTTGAAAATAATAAGCACACTAACAATCCTCAGGCCCGTAACACAGTATTAGACAAAATTGAAGAACTGAATCTTATGGATGTTTGGAGAGAACTAAACCCAGATTTGAAGAAAAAAACGTGGTGGAAAAGAAATCCACAACAACAGGCTAGACTGGACATTTTCTTAATTACAGAAAACCTATTTAACATTACTTTAAAAGCCACGATCCAACCGGGCTATAAATCAGAGCATTCCGCTATTACGATTTCGTTGTCTACATCTAAAATCAAAGAAAAGGGCCGTGGATATCGGAAATTGAACACCTCTTTATAACGAAACGAAGATTACATTAAAGTAGTGTCAGACTTATTGGAGGAAACAAAACTTGAATACGCAGACACTAAATACACAGAGATAAAAGATATAAAGGATGGAAATCTTAATCTCACAATCAGTGATCAACTGTTTTTAGAAAGTCAGAGGAAAATCTATATCGTTTGCATCGTTCTTGAAGAAAGGCAGACAAAAAAATCTTAAGCGTTTAGAAGAGAATATTATCCTTTTAGAAGACGAAATGAGAAACGATTTTCAAAATGCCAGCGAATTGACCTTTGCTAAACTATCCGAGGCCAAAATAGAACTTGAAAAATTAAAAGAAGAAGAAATAAGAGGAATCCAAGTATGAAATAGAATCCAATGGCACGAAGAAGGCGAGAAACCAAATTACTTCTGTCATTTAGAAAATAGAAACTATACTAATAAACTCATTAACACAGTCGTAACCGATCATGGCAAAGAAATAACTGATGGACAAGAAATAATTAAAGAACAGAATTTTTTTTGCGAAAATCTATATAAAGCGGCAGGTAAAGTAAGCCTAGAAAGCACAAGGTTATTTAACGATCTTGTTACACCATGTTAGATATAGATTTCTCCCACGAATTAGATGCAGACTTAACCATAAACGAAATTGCTGTTGCCATAAAGTCAATGAAAAATAATAAGAGTCCCGGCCTAGACGGTTTTCCTATAGAATTATTTTTTTTGAAAGATATCAAAACATGGGCTCACCGTTATATTAAGGAAATATTCAATAACAATTTTCTTAGTACAACAATGAATAGAGGAGTGATCACTTGTATCCCTAAATTAAACAAAGACCGAAGATTCCTTAAGAACTGGCGACCTATTTCTCTCTTAAACGTCCTGTACAAAATCGTAAGCACTTGCATCACAAACCGGCTGAAAAAGACATTAAATCGTTTCATCAATGCAAATCAAATGGGTTTTATTCCAGGACGATGCATATCCGATAACATAAGACTTATCTACGATATTATGTTTGAAACTAAGAGATTAAACAAAAAAACTTTATTAATACTGATAGATTTTGAAAACGCATTTGACACGGTTTCTAAAGAGTTTATTATGATGGTCCTGAATAAATTCGGCTTTGGGAACAAATTACAGAAATGGGTTAGTATCCTAATGTCGAACGCAACTGCTTGTATTGTACAAAATGGACATTTATCTACTTTCTTCCAAAACGAAAGAGGTTGCAGACAAGGATACCCAATTTCACCGTACTTGTTTTTGTTCGTCGCAGAAATACTAGGGACTATGATTCGTAACAATGTCGAAATAAAAGGTGTCACCTTAAATGATATCGAATACGTTTTAGGTCAAAATGCTGATGATACTGAATTATTTTTAGATGGATCAGAGACCTCTCTTAAGGAAGCAATAGACACTCTATCAGGGTTTTATAAAATGTCTGGACTGAAAATAAACGTTGATAAAACTAAGACAGTATGGCTTGGATCACTCGCTGGAAGAAAGATAAAACTAAGGCAGTATGACTTGAATCACTCGCTGGAAGTAAGATAAAACTAAGGCAGTATGGCTTGGATCACTTGCTGGAAGTAAGATAAAACTAAGGCAGTATGACTTGGATCACTCGCTGGAAGTAAGATAAAACTAAGGCAGTATGGCTTGGATCACTCGCTGGAAGTAAGATAAAACTAAGGCAGTATCGCTTGGATCACTTGCTGGAAGTAAGATAAAACTAAGGCAGTATGACTTGGATCACTCGCTGGAAGTAAGATAAAACTAAGGCAGTATGGCTTGGATCACTCGCTGGAAGTAAGATAAAACTAACCCTCGACCTTAATCTAGATTGGCATGTAGGAAACTTTGACGTATTGGGAATCACACTGAACGCTTCTTTACAAAACCTGTGGGTTATCAACACTAGAAAAAGACTAGACAGCATCAAAAGAACTATTTCAAAATGGCGTAAACGTAATTTGACTTTGATCGGTAAAATTCCCGTAATTAAAACGTTGGCCGTATCAACCATAGTTCATATCTTTACCTCCCTTCCAAACCCATCTCCCGATTTTAACGTAGAATTGAACACTTACTTTTTCAAGTTTATATGGAACAACAAAAAAGACAATTTAAAACGAATCAATCTTATGCGGAATTATGAAGATGAAGGACTAAGAATGATTGATATTAAAACATTCAATGAATCGCTAAAACTTTCATGTCTAAAAAGATACATTACTAAACAGAAACAATATGCACTCTCTGGTTTTCGGTTAGACTATATCTTCCATTTCGGTGCAAATATCCCGGTTTACTTGAAAATAAAAAAACCTTCTGGAATGATGTTCCAAAGGCGTGGAGTAAATATGTAAAGATCCATTCAGTTAATACTGATGATATCAACGACATTTTAATGCAACCGCTGTGGTTAAACCACCACTTTCGTGACTCAAACTTCATTATAAAAAACTGGTTTAACAAAGGTATAGTTTATGTAAAAGATATCTGTGATGAAAACGGATTAAGTCCATTCATAAACCTAAAAGCATCATCCAATATAAACTGACTGACTGAGTTTAGTTTTACGCCGCTTTTAGCAATATTCCAGCAATATCACGGCGGGGGACACCAGAAATGGGCTTTACACATTGTGCCCATGTGGGGATTCGAACCCGGGCCTTCGGCGTGACGAGCCAACGCTTTAACCACTAGGCTACCCCACCGCCCTTCAATATAAAGGGTACCATACTTGATTACAATCGCTTAGTACTTAACATCCCAAAGGTATGGAGAACAAGACTGCAAAATGTTAAAATAGACTTTTTGCACCTTAAAACTGTCTGCCCTTGGATCGATATTAATAATCATTGTAAAGGATCAAGACTTCTTTATGATAAACTAATTTCAGCTACCAGCTTCCCGAACGTTTGAAATAAATAGGAAAGAGAAGTTGATACATCTATTGACAGGAAATGCATCTTTTCACGATATAGAAAAGCCATAAGTGATACAAAACTATTAGAATTTCAATACAATTTTTTGCATAGAATAATTTATACCAAAAAAGAACTGCTAAAGATGAAACTGGTTGATTCCGATGTGTGCCCTTTCTGTGGGACAGAAGGCGAAAATATCGACCATGTGTATACAAAATGTCCATATGTCAAATCCTTCTGGGACGATTTTAACAACTATGTTAATATAATATTCGGAAAACATATTGAAATAACAAACAATGACATTCTGTTTTCTTCCCGTGTTGACAGTTTACTTACTCATATGATCATTCTAGCCAAACGACATACATTTGTTATGAACAGCAAAGGGTTTAAACCATGTATTAATTCTTTGAAAGTTACCCTAAAAGACGTCTTCACAGTAGAAAAATACATTGCTATGAAACATGATAGAATCAGTCTATTCAACAGAAAATGGAATGTACTACAAAAGATGCCTTAACTCTTTTGTCCATATATTAGTGGTCTCCTCTATAGCCGTTTGTATATTTGAATGTATGTCAGCTGTTACTACCAATGTCAACGTTTATCTTGATACAAGTGCCGACTTATCAGCTGGAGGTTTCTCTGTTCTGTTTGATACTGTATCTTATTTTGAGTGTACTTAATCATGTAACTCACTGAGTGTAATAAAGAAATGTGTAAAAAGAACCATTATCTTTTAAAGTTTCATTAAGTTACCTCCAGAGGAGTGCAAAAAGGATCTGTACCCAGTTCGAAGAATTTTAAGCAATACACTCCAGATCTTATATCAAACTGGGCTAAAATGTTATCATATGTCAAGCGTATCCAACAGGATATAGGATTGTATTATATTTCGCTCACCCAATCTGTACCTAGCATTGTATGGCTTAAAGAGAACGTAGAATTCGTTCTCATTGATCAGTTTAAGCAGTTATGGTGGCGCTCTCTATATAATGGATAAGCATTCACTATTTTAAGAACCATTTTGTTACAATTACCTTACCTTACCTGACATACACATTTAGACATAATACATGCGAATCTTTGTGAATAATGTGCATTATTGTATTACATCTAGTCTGTGAGTATGATATTTCAGGTCCAAGAAAATCCGTAAGTCTGACAGTTGAGTTCACGCTCCCGCATTACTTACATGGTTTATTTTCTTTACACTTGAATGCTGTACATTCAATGCTGTAATCGCATAAAGTCTTTGAACGGTATGTTTAAGTACACTGCATTTCTATTCATAGTCAGATATATCGGTTTGCTTACATAACATTGTACTGTGCAGCATATTTACCAGTGTTTGTATTATTGCATAGGACACGTTTGGATAGATAATGTCGCAGGGGCGAGTCATATCAAATGACAAGCTGCGGGTGTGTTTTGAGGTGACATTTATAGTATCAGTCACTGAATTGATCAGTTAATCAACCTGTAATAAGATATAACAAAGTATAATCTACAAAATCTATTTATGCAACACGCACAATTAAACATCACTAGTTTCTTATAAATTACTTATTATTATTTGATTAGTAATACATAAGGTTGTACTGGTATTGTTGTTACCACTGTATATATTATGAATGAGTGCGCGCCAAGCCCTAGTATTGTTAAAGCATGACTGCTATGTTAATACATACCTTAGCGTGGAAAGACTATAATATTTATGAGAATCGACCTTTTATGATCATACTTATTATCCATCATACTAAACAATGTATGTTTTGAGATCATGTACTATGACAGGTTAACAGCAAATGTGAAAGTGAAATGTTAATCTGTTACCTTCTTGTCCGTCTGCGCCGATTGAAAAAATAAATACACACATACTTATTGTATTTGTCATTTTACTTTTAATGCTTGCATGGATACACATTTAAAACTATACACACTGATACTATACACACATTTGAGAGAGAGAGAGAGAGAGAGAGAGAGCGAGAGAGAGAAAGAGAAAGGGGGGGAAGAAAGTGAGAGATTATTTTAGTATTGTATACACACATAGTAAAACTTAGAGAAATAGTGGATGGTGTACATACATGTAGTTGCTCAACCAGGAACATGAAGGTAGTACGTGTTATCTGCTGTCATACAGTCCATGTCAGCTTGACCTGTTTTATCTTCTCACTGTACTGGTTGTCACGTGTGTCGATCGTTATGGTCATGTAGAAACAGCTTGAAGTCTTACACAAAACATTGTAAATGAAATGGGGTGCATTTCAGTCGACATGTGTCTGGCATACATTATATATACATAATCAATCCCAGTGTTCTGTGTTAATTGCACATTTCTAGTTCCGGTCCGTCAGAATAAAATATATATTACTGAAACAGCTTTAGCTTTATTGGAAAACGGAATTCAATTGCTTTAAATATATACGCGTGGAAATTAATTAAGCAAAACCTGTATTTTCTTAGACAGAGCAAATTTACTTACTTGTTGTTAACATGCGCATAAAAAAACACTACGAATTTCATTTTTCTTGCACAGACTTAACTGTCAGTACCACTATACCTCGTATTCACGGAAATAAAGACTATTATTGTCTTGCAAGTCCAAATACTGACTTTCCAGCAGTATCTTGTGTTGGCCCCTTGCAGGTGAACAACTGAATCAAGACGCCTCCTTGGTCAATCTTGATCAGTACAGATTTGATTCGGAGGAATCCTGGTCCATTCCTAATGCAAGGCAGCAGTCAATTCGCCGACCGTTCTCACTCCATTATTTACTACAATACTACATTATGTACAGGGGTCACACTAAAACACACCACAATACTCCAGTACTACAGTACTACAATACTACAGTATTACAGTACCAGAGTACTACAATACTAGAATAATGTAATACTATAATACTACAATACTCCAGTACTACAGTACTACAATACTAAAATACTACAGTACTACAATACTACAGTAGTACAATACTACAGTACTACAATACTACAGTACTAGAGTACTACAATACTAGAATAATATAGTACTATAATACTACAATACTACAGTACTAAAGTACTACAATACTAGAATATTATAGTACTGCAATACTACAGTACTACAATACTATAATACTACAGTCCTACAATACTACAGTACTGCAATGCTACAATACTACAGTACTACAATGCTAGAGTACTACAGTACTACAATGCTAGAGTACTACAGTACTACAATACTACATTGTAATACTACAGTCCTTTAATACTACAATACTACAGTACTACCATACTATAATACTACAGTACTACAATACTACATTACAATACTACATTACAATACCACAGTACTACAATACTTCTGTAACAGGAGGATCCTATTTCGGGTCCCCATGTCCGCAGGATTCAGGGGTTTAAATTCACAATGACAGCCAAACACAAGATTTTGCAAACCAAATAAATTTATTTCAAACTCCACTAATACATATCGTAAAATCAACAATAAACAAAGTAAAATAAACAACAAAAATAATAATATCTCTAAGGATCCTTAGAAAAGTGAAAACCCTATTAAATATACCTATACTATTGCTAACTAACTTAATTCTCCAAAATAATGTTCCCTGCAAAATAAAAAAAAAATAGCTACCTAACATTATCTAACCAAAACTTTATTTCTTCTTTAAACTAAAATTAAAAGAACTTAAAACTCTGTTTGCCTAGTCTACAGAAACAATAGTGAATTCCTCCCTTTCTTGCCTCTGTAAGACCCCATAGTGCAGAGGAAAAATAATCTGCCCTTTATACCCCTAACCCATAACTCTTACCCAATAAAAATATGCTCTGAAAATTACCCAATAAATGCCTACAAAGAAAGGTTCAGTGGACTGATCCCTCTGCTCATGAGATGCTCATGCACTGGCCCATCCCATTGCATAACAATGGGGAAGAAGCATACTAGTCACATGTTCAGTGGGTCCTTACCCCTCAAGAGCTAAATGGTCCAGCCCACTGAAGCCTAAGCTTGGTGTATTATTTTAGCCCAGCCTATGCCTAACCCTGTCCGAACCCTAAAAAACAAGCCTAATTTCTTCTAAGAAAATAACCCTACCATTACATTCAAGTGCCGATGGTGGTCTGTCCTCGCCCGAAATCTCCTTCCACATGTTATGCATGAGAATAAATGAACAAATGCTGTGTGATACTTTTTCACATAGCGCCTCCGGGCCCTTGCTGAAGAAAATGCTCCAGCACTGCAAACATCACATGGTCGGGAGTCTCGGTCCCCTGCAAGCTCATCAAGCTCTGCTTGATTTACGCCAATATCTACAGTACTACAATACTACAATATTACAGTACTACAATACTACAGTACTACAATACTACAATATTACAGTACTACAGTACTACAATACTACAATACTACAGTACTACAATATTACAGTACTGCAATACTACAGCACTACAATACTACGATACTACAATATTACAGTACTACAATACTACAGTACTACAATACTACAACACTGCATTACTACAATACTGCAGCACTATAAATACTACAATATTACAGTACTACAATACTACAGTACTTAAGTACTGTCGGAAATGCTAGAAAAATGCTTTTTGACTTATATTTAAAATTCAGAGGTATTACAGGTACTTAAATAACAAATATCACTTCAAGAAACATCTACCTAATGTAGACCGAGAGAATAAATTGTGAGACATGCCCTAAAATGTGTTTTTACTGATGAAAATACCAAAAACTTAGAAAAATAAGGGGTAGTGGAACGTTATTTGATACAAACATTAATTGCCTGTGTTACGTCATCAGCATCCACGGTATCGACAGGTGAAATTGACAGCTGAGCACGCGCTCGGGCGAGGGGTCATCTCAATAGATATTTTCTGCAAAATGTTGAATATGTGTACGTATAGTATACGTATCGGTTATGTAAGGGATCATTTGTGTATGTGTGTTGGTTTTGAAATAAACATACGAATTACTGTACATTGGAAAGAGTCCAATCACTTGTGTTATCTTATCGATTGATTGTAGAAATGTGCAACGTTTCAATAAATGTTTTGCATGTCAACAGTATATTTCATTGAAAACATATGGATGTAATTCGGTAAGTTTAATCTAGTTGTGAACATTGACCAAAGATTTAACGAAGTCACTGGTGTAGCCTCTTTAGAATATGTATATTTTTCTTCTCATAAATTTTGTAGACCGCCCGTCTAAGCACTCCCTTGTCAAAGTTGTCAAGGATGGTTTTACGTCCCGGTCTTGCTTTTGAGACGGTCCCTGTCTTGTCTGATTTGTTTACAATATTGTAAACTTGTTGGTAAGACATACCAACAGCTCTACAAGTTCTGTAATAAACCATTTGTAAACTAATGAAAGGTTTACCTCTGTCTTTTTTAAGCAGAAAAACTTATAAACCTTTGCAACAATTGACTGCAAATCGTTGGCCATAGTGGCCATGACGGGAAACTTATTTATCAAGACTTAACATTTATAATAATATTTCTTCAATCAAGAAACGATAATTAAGTAAAGTAACACAAACATTGAATATTTATTTGTTTAAGAAAAACGTTAATTCATATTTTTACACCACCTATATTATTAGCATAAATGTAAAGACTATTTCAGATTTCTGTTGTTGAACTCTGAACAAATCTTAAGTTGCTGTTTTGATACCAAATTCTCTCCTGTAAACTGCCCTTTAAATGCATGGGAATGTTAAATCGATTGAAATAAAAATTAGGTAGACAATAGGCGAGTTGATATAGTGACAACATAGTACATTTCTCACCTTTATAAAGATACTAAGGCTAAAAAGCATTTTCCAGCATTTCCGACAGTACTATAGAAGCCTGTACTCAAGCATAATGTTACTTTGTTTGTTTTTCACGCCGCGCCTAGAAATAATCCAGCTATATGGCGATTTACTCCCACTTTGCCAGTAGTTATCCTGCCACAATTAACGAATATCGGATTTTATTACCCATACGGGCTAGGATACACAGGTGAGCATTTTTGTGATAATCGCACATGTGCTTTTCAGTGATTCTCAACGTTGATTGGTCAGCTAGGCAGAGAAGAAATATGATTGGTTGACGGAACTACTTTTCATGATCCAAGTTCATTGACAACTTTCATCGTTCCATTGCTAATTAGAACGTGCTGTACTCACCTTCCGAGATTTAAAAAAGAAAACATAAGGGTTAAAGAGTATGAATAATCTTTTTATTAGACGTCATTGTTTTGCAATAAAATTGCGTTATAAATAATAGTCTTTTTAAAATACATAACCTTAAAAAATCAACAAAAAACAATCGTTTGTTTGTAAACAAACATGGCAACACACATTATTTCAACTCGGGCATATTTCCCGTAATCACTCGTACCGAGTTGGTTATCCTCTAAATAATTAACACCCTAATTAGCAAGGTCAGGCCTGGCTGGTTATTGCTGAGCGTGGTGAGCCATGAACAGTGTTCACCACATGCAAAACAATTTTAATCAATAAGTGTTCACAATTAGAGGCTTCAGTTATCAATTTCTTATGCTGTCTCCCACATAGTGAGATTGTAAATATTTGTATTGTGTTTGCATTTGATTAAAATGACATTACATGACTATAAGTTATATATGTTTCATGTATTTATATGTAACTGAACTTATAACACTAATCATCTGCTTAAAATGATAAATATGTTGAAGATACATTACGTGACTATAAGTTATATCTGTATAATTTGTTTATTTTTGTATATCTGTAGCTTTATTTATAACATGAATTATATAGATTTGTTGTACATTTTGTAGAATAAAATACATTGGCAAAGTGTTGA